ACACAACTGACAGGATTATCAGGACCATGGTATCACTCCTATCCCTTTTTCAGCAATACTGCTTTCCAGGTTATTCCTTCACAATGAGTACCTGTTTTGGATTACTGCCCCTCAACTGTTTTAGCTTGTATTTTCCAAACTAAATCTCATTTGTATTTTCCAACAATGTGCCTGATTTCTTTAGATAACCTTTTTTGCCCTGACTTGTGTTTAACTCTTCCCACTACCAATGTCTGCTAATGTCACAACTCTACTATTCATCTTCTTATAAAGTTCATCAATGCAGACACTAAATATGCCTAAAATGGTGAAACTTATATTATTACATGCGTATGTAAGCACTGGTGTTACTCTTTAACACCTAAAACTGCTGTGACTCACCAAGTCTATTCTTTATACATTGCTCTATTTTTGTTTATGGTCCCTTGACGAATTTTTCTTTCAGATGACTATCCGCATACATACATAATTTGTTAATGAGAAATTTTGAGATGTATTTAAATTTTAGAAAGTATGTACAATATTACTACAGCTACAAGTTTCTCTTCATCCACTGAAGCCTTGAACCTGCAATCACATCTGGCAAGCCAGCTAGCCCTGTACTCACTGATCTGTCTGCAGATGCTGTTGCAGTATTAGATCCTAATTATAAACACTGAGCAACAGTAACAAAGAAAACTCATTTAAAGTATTTTTTCTTGGAAAATTCCAAGCTGCTTATTATTGCTTCCCTAATATTTCTGTCGTCATTTTACTAAGAGGAGAATCCCTTAAATTTATCTAGTTCTTCAGCTTCTGCTCCCACTCCCAACCCCTCCCTCCCTTTTTTTTAAGGAATCAGTACTACTATACAATTTCTTAGTGGCATCTTGGAGATTACTACAAATATCTTCATATCTTTCAAGAATGCCCTCTATTTGTTGTCAGTAACTATTTCGTGTGGTTCTGATTTTTAACTACTCACTTTTTCATTCTACTATATATGGAACTTCAGGAAATTTAACATAATGGCTTGCCTTTATGACTTCATGCAACTTCTCATTTATGAGCTGACCTCCTTCCTCTCTCCTTGACTTCCCCTTACCTGCGCAATATTTACAACAGTAAATTCTTATTCACCTTTAACTAATATTAACTCATTTCTGCTGCCTTTACCAGAAGCTTATAATATACACCTGCTTCCTACCTTTCAGATATTCTCTGCATAACTGAAACGTAAACTTACTTTACCTTACACTTAGTCCTTTCACATAATTTCTCTTACTGCAGAAAAATACCTTTTAAAAACAAACTGACTTTTAACTCAGTTAGGCATACTTCATTTACACATTTAGTTTACAAGGTCTCTCACTCACCAAGAACAGATTAAGACCCACAACAGAAGCAAACATATCGCTTATGCTCACATGAAAACCAACAGAACCTTATACTAACATATGAGGTCACATAAGCCCAATTCTTTGCAGGACTGTAACCTAATCAACCACTAACATAAAAACAGGCTATATTTCATTTTAGCTTTCTTTTTACCTACTGCATGTTTACCAACTAACAAAAATGTAAAAGCATACCCACATTACTGATGTTTACATTTATTACCCCATATGATTTTCATTAACATTATAAAATAATCTTTAGAGAAGCATTTAGAAAATGCTTTACTAATTCACCTCAATTGAGATGAAACATCTAATTTGTACTACATCCAAGGGAATTACACTCTCTGACGCTGTAGAGACTTACAGAACTACATTAACAAGTATAGTCTATCAATGGTTATCAGCACTGTGGCTTTTGACTGCTCACTAGGAACCACAGTACATAAATTACTTCACCTGTCAGACAGCTCAAAGCAACACAGGCACAAGGTCTGAATGTTTCAGACTTTCCCTATTATAAATAACTTTTTCCAGTGAGAGAAAAGAGGGGGCAGTGCAAGGGAGAAGGGGTAGACAGGATTGGCTATCATGTATTCAAATATCACCTATCATAAAGCCTATCAGAATTCTGTCAGAAGTTTAAACAATTCACACCTTTAATGAAGCCTAACATACATTCCCAAAGACACAGCAAAATTCCACAAGAGTCAAAATGAAGAAAGTTCCTTAAACAAAAAAGACACACTTCACAACTGCCTACAAAAAACATAACCTGATGCTTGTCTTGCAGGACATTAAGTTTGATCAAGCCAACAGGACTAATGACATCACACAAATAATTCAACTTTCTAGATAATTTACACAGTAATATTAAGTCAAAATGACAGCATTCTTAAGAGATAACACAGCAAAATGAGCAAGTGGTCCACACAGCTCAAGGTCTTATCTCAGTGAACATGGTATGCCAGATGTTTCATAGAAAGAAGGAACTTTCATCACAAATCATCACAAATCCAAATCTGCAAATGTATTCATGTAGGTGCACACCACTGAATCCCTCTGAATTCAACAGGGTCCCATCTGCCATGCAGATCCCTCACTTCACAGGACTCACAAGATACAATTGGATAAAAAAAAATATGTAAAAGTTGGTAGGCCTCAGTTTGTTTGACTTTGTTTGCAAAGACATTATAATAGTGAGGCCAAAATTACAGCCATACTTGAGACTCAAGAGGAGTTGTTTTCTTCCCCACCCCCCACCCCCCCCCCGGGAAATTGCTCAGCAGTCCATGAAAATCTCACCCTATGAGAAACCTCAGGTTATGTTCTTCAACACAAACAAACAAGACCCTTTTTACAAATTTATCATTACAGTATTTTTTCTTTCCTGACAGCCAAACTGCCCCCCTCCAAAAAACCCCTTCTAGGTTAAAGTCAAACAAACATTAACCTAGGAGTGACACATATGTGTATACACAGTCTTATTACTGCACACGAAAGGAGGTGAACTCAGCTGGCTAACAGTTCACATCACACATTATGTGAGAAGCAACAGTGAATAAACCAATAATTCATGAAAAAAAATAAATAAAAACAAACAAAAAAACACCAAACACTAAAACCCAATCAACCCCAACACCAAGAACCTTGACAGTGTATCTCAGAATGGCTTATGTAAATCAGAGATTATAAGACATTTTTAAAAGATTCTTCATCTTAACTGTTTATCAACTTTCTCTTCTAAATTCCAAGTAAATAAAAAAAACCTTATTTGTATGTTATCATTTTTATATATCTGCATCAACTGCAAGTTAAATGATGTCAGTACTAGCATGCTAATAACAACATTTTTGTATGTCTGATTCTAAATTAAAAAATAGTCTCCTATTAAAAATTAACAGTCATTAGAAGGCTAAATTAATTGTGTTAACTGTCACAACATATAAATGCTTTCAAAATACAGATGAAAATACAAATGACATACAACCTTCTACTGCAAAAAGTTAGGCCATTCAAGCACTTGTAACATATGGAAATACAAAGGAAAAGGTAAAACCCTCAAACACTATCACTTTGCAAATTGTATGTAAAATCTAGTCAAGTAATAGACTACATGGTCCAAAAGAAAAACTCAAGAAGCAAAAAAATGGTTTCTGTGATCTCACAAATCTCCAGCAACACTTATCTCAGTACTTCAGGGCTATGTAGTAGAGAGTTAAAAAAAAAAAAAAGAAAAAAAAAAGTCAGAGAAGGACATCCTAAAGTGGAGCCTCTCACTTCGTTCCTAGGCCTGCTACCAATCATAAACTTTACTGAAGCTACTAACAATGACAATTTCTTTTCTTCGTCTGAATCTTAAAGCAATCATCTATCAGCACCAAAAAAAGAAAAATTCAGTAACTACAGATATCTGCCTAAGGTTTTCCAGACATCACTGTAACTTAATAACTGCTCCACTGTGCTATGAACTCCACAGCTTCAAGCTGGAAGTCAATCTAGGACAGCCAATAGAAAGTGCACCTGTACAATTACTGCATTTCCTAATTCAGAAGGCCAAACTACAGACAGATAAAGCTTGTGTGTACTCAGATCACCAAAACAGATCACCAAAAGCCCATACATCTTTTGTACACACTGCACATCTATATTATCATTAATTGCAATGAAAAAATATCATTTATATAATTCAGAAAATTACATTCCTTAACCAGTGTACATAAAACTTTATTCTAAATGGAATGTATTTGTCTATATATAGCACCTAAAACATTATACACAAAATAATTTTAAAATCTTGCACACAAAGAATAATCAGCAAAGTTCATAAAAATTATTTTTTTAAAGGCAATCTAGTAACTGAACAGCACCACACATGGTAATTTAAAATACTCAATATGAACTCCATGCTACATTAAAAAATAATCTGAATCACAAAATAAACTGTATCATTTCAAGGAATGGAATCTTGTTTTTAAAAACTGAAAAAATCTAGTATTTTTCAAGTAATAGAAAAATCAGTTAGCTCTTTATATTCTAAAATATAATGTATGCTGCTAATAATTCATAACAATATTTCTCCAAAGCAGTCTACCTTCCTGCAGATATATTTTCATTCAATGTCTGACCCCACTGAGCAGTAAACAAATTCACATACATCAACAAATTTCAGTGCTCCAAAAATTAAGCTAAGTTTCTGCAACTACAATAACATGATCTCAGTAGCAGTCCTTTAGTACCGTGATTCTAAAACAATCAATAAAAATGGCTCTGACATGTATCTGTTTATACACTTGGAATCCCTTCAAAGTTAGATGTAAAATAGAAAATACAATATCTACAAAACAGAATTGCCTTTAACTTATCACTGCACCAGACCAGTAAGGAATTACAAGTTCTTTCTGCTTTATTTTATAGCATTTTTAAAAAGCAGGGTTATTTTTATTCAGACACTGGAACCCAAATATAATCCCACACTCAAAAATACTACTGCAACAGCCTGATAGCACTCACCGCAAGTAATACTGTTTTAAAGCGAAGGCAGCGTTAGAACAACTTCTGGGAAAGTTAAACTCCTCTACAATTTCTCCCCACTGATTCTTCTCTGATACCTGTCAAAAACAACACATATACAGGCCGAGATACACAACGTACACATAAACATGTCGTTGACAGCGAACATCACAAAAAACCCACAAGCTGCCATGAAGCAAATAGATAAAAATATAAAAATAACTGAACAGGAATGTATATGGGATTTAAGACTACATATTTTACTTACAGTCGGTGGTGCTCCCCCTTTGGGAATAATCCCGTCTCTCAGCGGCATTTTGCTGTATTTATTTTTTAATATACGCATTATTTTTTCCGGGGAGGGCGGGTGGGCGGCCAGGAGGGTTCGTATTGTTTTGGGGTTTGTTTGTTTTTGTTTTTACTGCCTGGACAATAACCAATCGGGAGTCCCTCTGTCGCCCCCTTTTAAATCCTGCCGCGGTCCGTTAAAAACCCGAAGAAGTTTAAAATGCTGCGGGGAAGCGGTGGCGGGGGCGCCCCCTGGCCCGCGGGGCGCGGGGGAGCCGGCCCGGGGGGTCCCCCCAGCACACAAACACACACACAGGCAGGCCTTTCTTTTGAGGCCTACATTTCTGTCCCTAGCCTTGAAGCCTAAAGATGGCTATTTGATTACACACCGTCTTGGGTGCCCCTTTTGTTATTTTTCCCCGGGAAGGGCTCGGAGGGCAGCGCCCGGCCCCCCCCGGCTGCGAGGATCGTTTCCTAGCCCATGCTCCGTGCCGATTATCGATGTTAAACATGCCCGCTAATTTTGAGTTGCACTAAAACTGCACTCAGACTCTCTCCTCTCTGCCTCTCCCTCTGTGAGAGAGAGAGAGAAACACACAGAGCTGCCACCACAAGCGAAAGAAACTGCCTTCCGCCGACCGGAGCCCTCTGTTCCCCAGTCACCTCCTCCTGGGGAAGGGGGGCAGGGGAGAGGGGCTCCGGCGGAGGCAGGAGCGGGGTGTGCGCCGTACCCCCGATCCCCCTTCATCGCTCCGCCGACAAGGCCAAGCCACCAACCTGCCTATCTACTCGCTTCCTTCTTCCACCCCCCACCTTCTCTAACCGCCTTTAAATAGGACGGTTCCCGGCCACCCCGGCTCCCCCCGCCGCCCCCGGGGGTCAGAGAAGACTTTTAGGAAGAGGTTAGTGGGAGGGAAACCCAAATTAAAACTTCCACTCACCTTCCCAAATCCGCCTAAAGTGGTGACTCTGGTGTAGAGAGCGTGAAGATCCAGCTCCTTCCCACCCACCACGGGGATCTTCTTAAAAGGAGACCTGCCAGAGGAGATACACACAAAACACCACAACTTGTCAGCTCTGCCCCCTTTTCTCCCCTCGCTGGGGCTGCCGTGTCCTTCAGGGAAGGGGCTGGAAGTTGGATCTGGTCGGTTTAAAAGCCTCCCCCCCTCCCGTTCCATCTCCCCATTTTCCTCACCCTCTGCTGTGGTGAAACTGCCGCAGCTCGTCCAGGAAAGCGAGTCCCTTTCTCCGCTGGTCTGCGTGGTTTTTACCCGTCGAATTTGCCATTTTTGTAATAAAAAAGGTTCTCGTAAAAAAAAATAAAATCCAATTAAAAAAAAAAAAAACGGCCGACAACAACAACAATCCGCGGCTCCTCCTTGTCTTTAAGAGACCCAGGTGCCCGTGCTCGGCCGGGGATCAGCCATGGAGAGGGGCTTGGTTAAAAAAAAGTTTAAAAGGAATAAGGGAGCCCAGAGAGTGTGGTAATTGCGAGTCCTGTCTCCACACAACACACAGGCAAAGAGGCAGGGAGGGAGAGGGGCACCTCTCAGTAATTCCTCCTCCCGCTGCTGCTGCCTCTCTCAGCACCACAAACCCAACCGATCCAGCCTGCACATGAGACTCAACATGGTGCTGCTGGATCACACAATGAATTGGGTTACTGTTGTGGTGGGGTGGGGGGGGAGCCGGAGTGAGGTATTGACAGTGTGTGTGTGTTACAGCCGCGGCTCCATGCGATCTCCCTCTCCCTCCCTCGCTCGCTCGCTCCCTCGCTCGCTCTCTCTCACACACACACTGTACAGCTACGGCAGCGGCGGCGGCGGCGGTGGCGGCGGCAGCGGGATTCACTTCTCTTCTCTCTCAGACAAAAAGATCTGAGGCCGCCGTGCTTCTGCCTGGACGAGAGCGCAACACAGCGGACCCCGGAGGCCGCTCCCGGTACTGCACAAGGCAGCTCTAAAGGCAAAAGCCAGCGCAGCCCCAGCAAGCAGTTCCTGGCGGGGAACAATAGGCTCCTCTCGCCGCTAAGGGCTCATCTGCAATGTGCCGCAAACTTCACACAAAGCCGGGCGGAAAGAGGCGAGGGAGAAGGAGAAGAGGGGAGGAAAAAAACGACTACTACCGGTTGTTCCGGGGCTCGGGGCCGGGGAAAGGGCCCTCCCTCGCCAGGCTCGCGCCGATCAGCCTCTCTCCGTTGGCTGGCGGCGGTGGGGGGGGGGGGGGGGAAGCCGTAGGGGGGAGGGCAGGAAAGGTGGATTTGGAAAGGGGGCCGAAATTTTTAATTGGACTAAGCCCAACGCCCTGAGTTCAAGGGGAGAGAAAACAACGACTGAAGGGGGCACTGGTGGATGTGGAGTTTGGGAAAACTTTCCGAGTGCCCGGGCCTGAGGTGTTTCCAAGGGCAGGAAGTCGCCCCGGATGGCACGGCGGGGCCTCCTGCTGGGCCGGAGGGGCCGCGGGAACTCCTCGTTTCGGGACGGGAGGTGTTGAAACCTCCCCAGAGGAGAATGGCGAGCTCTTTCCCCGGTCAGGGGGGCCTGGAGAGGTCCGCCAGCAGCGGCCTGCGGTCTGGGTCCCTCCCTAAATGTTTTTTTTCCCTTCGTTCCCTCACAGATACCGTGGCCTGTAATCAAAGTGCTTTAGGACTGCTGTACACAGTCTAAGCCACCTATATGTTCCTGTATATTGATAAATAGGACGTACAGTATGAAGCCAATGGAGGAGGAAGGCCTTGGCCCCTTACTGTGGATGGACACTGTAGACTGCTTTCCCCTGTGCCTGTGGCGTGTGCAGTGTTTGTAAACACTCATCTCCTGACGTTTTCCACCCAGGGAAGCCCAGGAGACCTGCACGACAACCATGAGGGAGACCAGTGCTGCTTGGGGTAAACAAGAGTGAGAAAGGCCCAAGCGGTGAACAGCAACTTTTGGTGAAGAACCTTTGCTCCTCTGGCAAAGCTCGTGGTGACCCAGATGGGCATTTGCCCTTCCCTGGCACACAGCTGCAGATGAGCGCCTGCCTGCTCTGGTTCAAGAGGCTCTGGAGGAATATTTGCCCCTCACAACCGATAGCTGAAATCCAAGGCCAGATCAGGCCTTTAGAGTTGGGGTTTTGTGTTGGTTTGTTGTTTTTTTTTTTTAACTTGGACTCATTAAAGTCAGTAAGGAGCTGTGTTTTAAAATCAATGGCACGTTATGGCCCCAAGTGAGTACTTGAAAAAAAAACTCTGATTTCTACTCTATGTACTACGTTAAAAAATATTTTTTTCTCAAAAAGAAAAAATTCTTCTGACTCGAGTGCTGTTTCAGCTTGAATATAGCCATAAAGACATGAGATTTAGTAAGACGCTTGGTAAGATTTGCCCTGGGTTCACACTTTGGGGGAAGGGGAAGGACAAGGAAGAGCAATCCCCCGGTTTCATAGTAATACTCTGTGTTCAAAGTTGTTCTCTGTGTGTGGATAGAGTGGTCGTGTGCAGATTCCAGTGTGAGAAAATGCAGAGTGTCTTACTCACTGTAGCATTAAGAGGCCCCCCTCCCCCTAAAATTAGACCTGCAGCAGATCCTGGTCTGCAGCTCCTGTCCATGACACTTTAGAGTTTCTGCTATTTCAGCAACAGTATGTGTAAGACTCCCAAAGCCAGGATAGTATCAACGAGAAAGGTTTAGAACATGCGATTGAGGGACTAAATCGCTCTTTCAAATACACACGTATGCACACACAAACCTAAACCTTCCTTCGCAGGAGGGCGGTGGTTTTTAATCATGCCCTAAAAATTCCTTCAGAGCAGGGGGTCTCTCTCCCTCCGCGAGGGGCGGTCGGCGGAGGTGAGTCCCTTTTCTCGCCCGAGTGCTGTGTGAAGGGGAGTGGGAGGCAGAGGGGAGGATAGGCAAATTGCGTAGCAGGGCTAGGTGGGTTTCCATGCTAAGCGCAGCAATTGCGCACGGTCCCTTACGTAACTGTCAGCTGGGGATTCCCTAGACGGGGTCACTTTATTCAACCATTACACAGACCCCGGCCGCCGCTCCGGCGCGCCTGGGCTGCCGGGGGCCGCCGCTACTGAGGCTGCGGCTCCGGCTCCGGCTTCAGCTTAGCGCGGCGGCTCCTCACAAAATGGCGGCGCCCATGGAAGCGGCAGCCCCATTTTGTGCCCGGCAGAGCCTTGTCAACAAAACGCCGACTTGGCCAAGGCTGAGGAACAGAAGGCGGCGGCTCGTTCGCGTTACAGAGAACGGAGGGAGGAGAGCGAAGGATTTCACCGCCCTCCCGCCGCCGAGAGGAGACTTTCTATCAAGTGTGCGCGTTGGGGGAGGGAGAAGAGGGAGGTGAAGGGGGACGCGAGCAGCGAGCGAGTCAGAGGCTGCGTTATCCCAGTGCGGAGCTGCCGGAGCGGGGGAGGGGAACCCGAAGGCAGGCGGTCTTGGCGTTGCCGCGCCGGCTCCGCCGCTCGGCGGGGCCCTGCCCGCGGGGAGCTGAGGGCTTCGGAGGCAGGAGGCCGGGGGAGCAGCCGGCGGCGCAGGGCCCGGGGGCCGCGGTGGGCGCGGGAGCCTGGGGCTGCCTGGGCGGGAGGCGCTGCTCCTCGCTCTCGGCAGCCTGCGTAGCCCGGGCGGACGGGACCGTTCCTGTCGGATTCCGGCGAACCTGTAATGAGTGACAGGAAGATCTAGCTCCTTGTATAGCTAACTAGGTCACTGTCAGCAGTTAATTACTGTTTGTTTCATTTTAGTGCGTGCCTTATGAATAAACCGGCTATTAGGCTGATGCTTCCAGTAACACTACCCAGCAGCAAGGTACAAAATGTCTGAATTGGGCTCTGATCTTGTGATGCCGTCTTCGTAATAACTATTTTACATTAACGATGTCTTGGTTCTTGTAGCTTGGTTGGTCGGCTTATAGCTAAAATAATTGGAGATTCCCTATGGACAGGTTTTGAAGCTTATAGTAGTGTTACACCACCGGGTTTGTTGTTTTTATATTGATGGGGGCTCCGTCCTTTTTGAGATAAAGAGGTTGTGAATTCATTTTTTGTCTGATTTATCTGTCTTAATATGCATGCATTTTAGTGGTACTGAATAAAGGTGGTATGCAATTTATGGTGGAAGTGATGATTTTTAAACGTACTCATTACAGTGGTATTTAAGAATTATACTTCCTTGTTGCTTATTAAAGAGTCAAAGGGCAAAAGGGAAGAAAATATAGCTATTTTAGAAAAATAGAATCTTTTTATTGATTTACAGTACCTGTCAATGCAACTTGAATTTATTTAAAATGTAAAATAAAACCTGTACCATTATAAATTACTTATAAAAGTTATCATATGCAATGGATTTCAGTGCGTAAATGTTATGTGTGGAATGAGCATTCTTGCAGACAGGCAGTGCAGGTCCAGTAGCTGAATTGTCACTCTTCAGTAGTAGTTGGGTGCTGGATTTTTTTGTTGCTTGTTTGTGGGTTTTGTGTCTGTGTTGTTTGCTTTTTTAGTATAACTGTGCCAAGTGAATCTTCTGTTCTAATAGCTGTGTTGCAGTTTCAAACTTTGTTCATGAATCTGCAGTATTAATTTTTGTGTTTATTACCTATCTGCTGAACTGCAGATACCCAGAGAGCAGGCCGCAGTTGCTCTTGTCAGTGTGCCACTAACTCTGCATTTGCTTTCTGGTTTGTGAAGTATTCTCGTTCCTTTTTCATTTCTGCTTCTGCTCCTCTTGAATTGTGTCAACGTCATGTTTTGATTAGAGTAACTAGTATCACTGGCTGTATGCTGCTTATATTAAACACTAAACTGTAAATCCTTAGCAACTGAAGTTAGTGTATTTTATCTGTTTGTGTGTATGTGCCTGTGTATATAGATGTGTTTAGAAAATACAGCCTATTAGATGGACTAGTGAAGACAGTAAATTCACTCTTAAATCTGCAGGCAGTAGCATGTAATATAGGTGCAATCTGCAGTTAAACACAAGAATTACAGGATGAGCATCTGGTAGAGGAAAAAGGGTCAAAAACCCAGTGGCAAATTTAGTGACATTCATCTCAACCATTTTTAATAAAAAATGTTGAAGTGTTGCAATTAACTGCATATGTTAGGCTAAAGACTTAACTGCATAGCTTGCTGTGACAAATGTACACTTCAACAAGGGGTATTTACTCAGCAAGGTATTAGTCCTACCTATTCTTACTGAATAATACTTCAAAATTATTTATACCTTTTACTGTGCTGGGTTTTTTAAAGAGGCTGCTGCTTTGTATGGACTGTAAGTGGCTAGTCTTAAATGGAACAGGATTAAATCATAAAGGTCTTATGCATGAAGTGAAATGCTCAACAGTATGGCAAAGGTGGGAAAGCAGATGTACAGTATTACAAGCTACTTCTGTACACTTGTACAGTATTTCCACTACAGTTAGTGGAGCTTGACTACCCCAGCAGGCGTGGCTTAAATAATACTAATGCTGGTTGTTTATTTAAATTAACTTGGGACACTTCCCTCCTGACATATTTGGTACCTTCCTCATTTCAACTTTATGGCACTACTCAGGAGATAAAACTGAAGGAAAAATGGGTTACAAAACCAGTATTGTAAATACTCAAATAGATTAAACGCTTTGAAAAATGTTATCTGTAATTACTGTAATTTTGTAATAACTTGCTGTTCTTCACAAAGGTCCAACTCTTGGAATCAGTGAATTTTGTGATCATCTAAACTCTTAAGTTAAAAATACTTCAAAGTTGAGGGGTTTTCAGTTGTGCAATGAAGTATGAAATGTGAAGCAGGAAAACCCTAAATGCAACTGAAGGAGAAGTAAAAATAAATACGTAAATGCACTCCCACTTGATTTCAAAACTGCAGTGCTTTTGAAATTGTAGTTCTTTGTAGGTCCTGGTTTATGTATTCTGAACACTCAGGGTTGGCAATACTTCAACAGTAAGTTTAGGAAAATTATGAAATTAATACCCTTTTCTTACAGGTGAAAAGTACTTGTTGCATTTCTCAAGTTATACCTGTAATGCAGATTAGGGCCTTCATAGTGGAAAATGTTTTGAGGTTCTAACAAGCACTGGTCTGCAGGACAGAAGTGACAAATGTCCTGACAGCAAACAGTACGTGTTTTTTAAAAAGAAAAAAACATATTTGTACTTGGTAAATTACCTGGTTTTAGTGTTGCTTTGTGATTACCTCTGTGTTTGTGTGATCTGGTGGATGGCACACTTCCCCTGCCACTATAGCTGTACATGTTCCCTGAAATAGCACTAAGTGTGATTCATGTTTCTGGTTGGATGTGTGAAAGTTTGATTGAGATGCAAAACTGAGAGAGTTCTTCTGAATGTTAAAAAGGAACTGTGCTCAGAAATACAGAAACAATCAGGTTAAATTTGTCTCAAACTGTAAGGGCTTTTGTAGAGTAAGAATGATGGTATCATGCATGGGTGGAGAAGGTCTAGTTGACCTAGAGCAAAACCAAACCTAATAACTCCATAATGTTTGTTAGCAGTCTGAGTGGCAAAATGCTGCTAGTAGGAGAGTTCTCAGTATTGCAGATCTGCCAGCAATATTTGCTTGTCACGTAGCACTGTCTCATCTTTATATTTTTACCAATTCAAATGGCAGTCAACGGTAGCTAAAAATATGTAGAAATTTCTCTGAGTAAGCGGTTGCCTCAGTTAACTTCTGTACAGGCATAAATGGGAAGTAGTTTGTGCAACTGTGAATGTGTGGACAGACAATACATGTGACAATTTATGCATCTCAGTATAATATAAGTTGCAAAAACTTTTTTGAAAACTTCAGTCCTAAGTGAAAGAAATACTGATTAAATAGCATTTAAACTAACCCATTGAAATCACTCAAGCAAACAAAGTACTTTAGAGCAGTGAAAACACATCAATGCCTTGTGAACACAGAGACACTTTTGAAGGAGAAAATTTGTTGTGTAATTATGATTCTCAGTCTG